GATATGCACAGATGACTGCTTTATTTGCGTATATTAAGTATTGAGCATCTACGCAATCCACAGAGAGTATCTCTGGCTTGAGACTGTCTGCCTGGAAGAATGCAAATTCTTGTTCAAGTTGACTTAACTGAGAACTGTCAGGTAGTAAACAGCTGAACCTGTTTATGAAGTAGGCAAGGGATGCATATGTCTTTTCATCTATTAATTCCAGATCCACAACTTCAGCTTGAAGTAAAAGATCATTATTTGGGGGACTTTTTCGCAATGCACTAACATGCAGTCTCATAATAGAGGTGCAAAGCTGAGTAAAACGTAGCCAAATCACAGTCAGTGAGCCATCCTGTGGGATTTTCCTCTGTTTTCTTTTCTGCATCAATGAACTTCCTAACTTGAGCTCCAACTACAAGTCCTGCATCTTCCTTTTGATTGGATTTCAGTCTGAAATTCACCTCAAACACGTTTTCACTCTTCCTGATAACTGCTGGCTTGACAAATTAGACTAGTATTTTGTTCAACAGACTGAACAGTTCTCTTCATAATCTGTGAATGAGAGGGGCTTCGTTTTGAAGGTAGGTGTTTAATCCATCAAACACAGGAAGTATTTCATCAAGGTAGTAACAATACAGTTTGGTTTGAGGTGAAACCAGAAGTCTCTTGACCCGCTGTGCACGAGATTCTGTCATTTCCTTTGATGCTTCCGTGGGCTTTTGCCCTGGGGGTTTCTTCCCACCTGATGAACTGGTAGTGGTACTCGAAGTATGCTGTTGCCCAGGAGGTTTCTTCCCAACTGATGAACCGGTTGTGGTACTCGAAGTACATGTATGCTATTGCCCAGGAGGTTTCTTCCCAGCTGATGGATTGGTAGTCATACTCGAAGTATGCCACTGCACAGGAGGTTTCTTCCCAACTGATGAACTGGTAGTCGTACTCAAAGTATGCTGTTGCCCAGGAGGTTTCTTCCCAGCTGATGGATTGGTAGTGGTACTCGAAGTATGCCACTGCACAGGAGGTTTCTTCCCAACTGATGAACTGGTAGTCATACTCGAAGTATGCTATTGCCCAGGAGGTTTCTTCCCAACTGATGAACTGGTAGTCGTACTCGAAGTATGCTACTGCCCAGGAGTTTTCTTCCCAGCTGATGAACTGGTAGTCATACTCGAAGTATGCCACTGCACAGGAGGTTTCTTCCCAACTGATGAACTGGTAGTCGTACTCAAAGTATGCTATTGCCCAGGAGGTTTCTTCCCAACTGATGAACTGGTAGTCATACTCGAAGTATGCTAATGCCCAGGAGGTTTCTTCCCAACTGTTGAACTGGTAGTCGTACTCGAAGTATGCCTTTGCCCAGAAGGTTTCTTACCAATTGATGAACTGGTGCTGGTAGTAGTGGTAGGTTTGGCTGGACAAGGTTTTGCTTGAGCAGACTCTGCTTGGGTTGTTGTACCTGCAGAGTCGGCATCTTTACCCGTTGATTTGCTGGCTGAAAATGATGACCTCATAGATGACAGTACTTGCACTTTACATGTAGCACAGGGTGGATCCTTTGAATCATCAGCCTTCCGCTTCTGACAAGTGGTGCAAATAGTTTTTACAGTTTTAGCTGTAATTCTTTTGCACTCTTCTTTGAATAAATCAGTCAGTGGTTCATACTGCGCAAGAAGTCGCTTTATGCAAATCCCAAGGGACAGCCATCTGGTGCTGCAATGCTTAATCATCTTTACTGGCTCAGAACCAAACTGAATCTGCTTGTCATGCAAGATTTCTTCAGATTACTGCTTTTATCAAGATAGTAGTACACATCTACAAGAAGCTCATCAACTGCAACAGGTAATTTCCCAGCAGCCATCTCTGCTGCTATGTGAACCAAGTGGCATGGACAACTGGCAACATACACTCCTGCAACTTTTTCTCTCACAATTGCTGCAACACATTTGTGAATTCCAGTAATTAAAGATGCATCGTCACAGCCTAGGGACATGCAATTCCCCCATGAAATATCTCTCAAAGTTCACTCATTATCCAGCAAGGTGAAGATTTCTTTTCCAGAACAGGCACTTCCTTGACAAAGACTTACAAGTACGGGTGTTACAAGGCCCTGGTCACTGTCATAAACACTAATGACGAGTGGATACAAATGACCACTAAAGTCCCGAGTATTACTTGCATCGGTTGACAAGCTAAAAGCAATATATATAGCCGTGGCTCTATTTGTAAGCCCACTTTTGACACTGCTACAGACAGATTGACAAGATTATCTGCACCGTTTTTGGTGCTAAATATACAAAACCTATAGACTGATACCAAACTATGGACATTCAGTGCATGAATTATAAAGCAACAGGACTCCAGACAAGTAATTTTATTCTTTATTTGCAAAATTCCCTAAAGTTGAAAATATCGTAAAAATAATGTACAGATCATAAAATCGTAAATGATGAAAACAATCGTAGAAATTACGCCTAAATTGCAAATGTTGGCATCTGTGTTACAGTTCACTGTGGAATAAAGGATTCATGGCACCCATTGCTCTGACCTCTGGCCGTGATTCTCCTTTTGTTCTGTGGTTGACACTCACTGATGAAAGTTAAGTTACCACTTCTACGCTACACTAAGCAGAAGCCAATACACTGGTACTGCTTTATTCTCTGAATAAAAGTATACAGTATCAGGGATTTCCAGCCATAATGTACATGAATGCCTCATTGCAAGTTTGCACAAACAGCTGTGTATGAATTCAGTGATTTGAATGTCAGAGGCTGCCTTAGTTTTGCACCTATATGTCTTCTAGATTACCAGACAGCCTCTAGACAATCACGAACAGGTCGTATATTTGTGAATCAGCATTTTGAGTGACGGCAAAGGAAAGGTGTGTATGTGTAACAGACATCAGTGCACACCATTCTTGTAAAAATTGCACGCTTTGCATTCACACGATCAATCTTGGTGATAATCGCCAGGATTTCGCACCCCTGCAAAATTTTGGAGGAGGTGTGGATCCGTGCGATGATCACACAGAGACCCATACAATTAGTGACTGGGACACACTTTCATGCAACGCTGTATCTCTTAGATCATGGCGTTGATGTACTTTCATTGCAGGGTCCCCTGTTTTCAGCACTCGTGTGAAAGGGCCCGAAGAGGAAAGTGAGTCAAATTGAAATTAAAATTGGCCTAGTTACAAAACAAACAGAAAAAACAAATAAAATGGTGGTCATAGCAGAAATAGTACTTCACTGTTCCCCAGAGCACATCTTATATACATGTACACAAAGTAACACAGCACCAGCGAGGCTGAACAACCTCGTATCCAAGGTTAGGCCAATACAACATCATGGAAATGACACTTTCAACTATAGGAAAGAGTAATTAACCCTCCTTCTGCTGTAACCATAAACAAAAATAAAAAAATTCCTTCCACTTGATTTGCCCCAGTACACAGACTCATATGGGAAATTTGACTGATTTTGGACTGATGTGACAACTGTTGCAAGAATGTATCTTTGCATAGGAAGGTTAAGGTAATTTACCCTGTGGGGTACATCACTCACGTACCACAGCAAACATCACTCATGTTCTCACGTTCTGGTGGACGCATTTTTGTGCCATATCACACGATCCATTCTTGACCACTAAAAATTTGTAATCTATTAGTGTGGTATTAAAAAAAATGGATCATGCATTGCTGACACAGGGAGCTAAAACTGATGCTATAAATTGCTTTATTAAGCAACCAACTGATATGGGTCAGTGATGTTCATGGTGGCTTGTATCGCCATCAGTTGCATGTATGACAAAAATGATTGATGGTGTATCAAATGTCCTCAAGCAATGTCCCTGAATCCTCACTCAAACAATATCACTCAAACTAGAACTAGAGCACAATACATTAACACTAGCATACATCACACTGTAACACACCTCTTTCTGGATCTCTATCCTGGTTGGTTGAAATACAGTAACGTGTGGTTCACGAATATGAATTTGGTGTCAGTGTGACTTGACATGGACCTAGACATTATGCGCTCATGAATTCCAGAGACTAGTGCCCGGTCAGGCACTAGTCTTGAAAATTTTTGACTGGTTACTGTACCCTCTGGAGGTTGCTATGGCTCATTTAGAACAAGAAGTCAAATTGAAACAGTTACAACCCCAGAAGTATTCTTTTCCTTGTTGTATTAAGCGACTCAAATTTTTATTGCATCAAGGGAAACTAAAATGAACCTTAACTTTTGTTGAAAAGTTTGAACTGATTTTGAGTTAAAAGTTGAATGGAAACAGATAAAACCCTGGAAGATTTCTTCTCCTAGTTGTATGTAGCAAATCAAATTAGACTGCATCTATGAAAACTAAAATGAGCCTTCAATTTTTGAAATGTTTGAATTGGTATTGTGTGAAAAGATTTATTTAAACGGATAAAACACTGGAAGAATTCTTTTCTTTGTTGAGTATAGCAACTCAAAATTAGACTGCATGTAGGGACACTTCAGCGAACCTTTACTTTTTTGCAATTTTTGAACTGCTATTGAATGTTGAATTGAAACAGTTAAAACCTTGACAGAATATTTTTCTAGTTTAAGGTGTGTTATAAACACATCACATATGGACTGCCAAATTCGGCCACTATTGCATGCCCATGCTCCCTCGGGCCTGTGAATGATCAGAAGACGATACATACATGTAGGACACTCTTCTGGCCATTCACAGTCCCTCAGGGACACAGGTGTGCAACAGTGCCATTCATTGCCATCCCATATGTGTATACTATGTTACTAACCACCTATCATCTTTCATGTCTCTAAGATAAAGGGCCAATGTAAGTAACATTTAATGGTTTTCACAGGAGGTGAGTAGGCCTACAGATAGGTATTTGAAATCACTGTATTAAATCCTGAGGTCTTTGCAGCAGTCATGCATATGTTATGCAAGAGTCTTTCAGATAAAAAAATATCTTGGCATACAGTGTACAGTATCTCGGTATGAAACTGTTGTATGTTACATACCTTTTGCAGCAGCAACTTGTAGGGCTGTCAAACCTAAGTGGTTCACTGCATTTATGTCTATCTGTCTATCTTCACAGTTAGAATTACTGCTGGTCTGGACAGGTGAAAACCTCAGAAGATACGACACAATGTCATACAGGCCCCTCGAACATGCAATATGTAGCACTGTAGACCCAGTAGTTTGGTGCTGACTCCATATATCTCCCCCATTCTGCAAACACGAATGAAACAATAGCCGACCATCACAACTAAGGGTGTGATATCTCATGTTTGATAGGTCAAATTAAAACTGTTCAAAATTGAAACAATTTATATACTTGATCTAGGGTCCATTTTTATATCGTCAACAATGTCCACAACAAGTAAATCTTTTAAATTGTTGGTACATTGGGAATATAGTTAGGAATGGATTAAGTTAATAACTGGCAATCCTCTATTGCATCAAGTATGTTCATTGTCAACAAGAGACCTCAAGCATAATGATGTTAAACTTGTTTATATGTGCGGGCGACTAGTGAATTTTAGTAGTTGTTTATTTATCCATTAAAAAAACATGACCGCGGTTGAATAACATAACACAGGGTTAATTTTGGATGATGTCACACTGTGTGATTCACTTTTTCTGTTTGGATGGTTGGACTTTTTCACTTTTGTGAACAAAATATGACGCTTGTTAAGATAAAATTTGCCAGAAACGCTTGTGATATTCCTTCTTTGCTTACTTACTACCATTTTTTGAAAGGAAACCTTAATCATTCCGCAATGAGGTTAACAACTTTGCAGAGGCGAAAAAGCACACAGCGCTTACATCCGACTGGGCCCCAACCCACAACACACAGCTATGATTGCAACAGTGAAGGACAGGGCCCTGTTTATGGCAGGCTGCATGCGTGCATGTGCGCTGAATCAGGCTGTGGGCTCCCTTTAGTTGTCAAGTCTGATGTTTGTAAACATGTCAAATAAACATTGATGGAGAAGGGAATTAGCAACAGATTTGATCCATGAACATGATTTTCTGTGTATGTATTCAATGTCTTTATTTTGAGTTTGCGCTGCTCTCACAAGAGATGATGTAGTGAAGCCAATTTTTGAGAAATTTTATGTCCACATGGTTTTGTGGTTCATTGCCCATGCAGACCCAACTCATGCACAGTCCTGCCACGCTTATTCTGAGCAATACACGTCATCGTGACTTCATTTTTGTGTACAATTTTAAGAATCAACGGCTTCAGATATATGTTTACAAATGATCAACGCAAGGTTTGTGTATAAAGCATATGGCCCTCACCGCTATAGAGTACCGAAGTGTGACGTCACTGCAAACCAGGAAGTGCAGGTCAAATGAATGGAGTATGTGCGTGTGTTGGTTCACATGCAGGTTCTCGCAGTGTATGTGACATATTAACTTCTGTACTCTATAGGATGTGTTGCTGGTATTACCACCAGATGACAATTTTTGCAGCAATGCAACAAGCCCAACACCTTGAACAATGGAAGCAGATATTAAGAATAGTTTTGATGAGCAACTTCACACTGTAACCGTCCAGATTGATATTTGTGATTTTTAATGAATCTCTTCAAAATAGATTTTTTAATTTTTTCAACCTGTTGCAAGAAGATGCTTGAGTGTTGCACGACGTCACCAGTACGTTTGGAGGAATACTACTGTGTTGGAGACTAACACTGTTGAAATATGACGTCATGACGACGTCATGATTTCATCATTTATTATTACATATTTATTTTAACCCATTGACTTAATACACATTTTCAAGGCACAATTTTGGTTACCTTGCGATCCTCAATCGTCATCAAGTTACAGCCGGCGAAGACCATGATGCAAAATCATTGCCTAATTTATGACGTCATTATGACGTCATCACCTTATTTTATATTGGTTTATGCTGAAGTAGATGTCCCATCAGGTTCAAATCTTGCAGATATCTTGAAAAGGGAGTGCTCTAGAAGAATTTTGACCTCATGTGATGATGACATCATCAGGAGACAAGTCACGTGACATTAAAGGTGCACTGTTTAAAGCCCCATATCTCCTGAAGTAGATATCCGTACATATCCATTGATTTCAAATGTTGCAGAAAACATAGAAAGGAGGTGTTCTAGACGAAAATGTACCTGATGTGATGATTATGTCATAAGATGAGGAGTCAAATTACATTGTATTTAAAGCATGTTATTTCCTGAAGTACATGCCTGACTGGGTTGAAACCTTGGACCCAAATGGTCATAATGACAGATTTACAGCATTAGGTTTGTACAGTAGACTGATTGTTCAGCTTAAGAAAGGGTGTGAAAAAACCCTCTATTCTGTTGGCAAATGGACAGATGACCTCTCGTTTCTTCTTCTTCCTTTTCTTCTTCTGCTCAAAAGCCCCTTTGCTTTGTATATCTTTTTGTCGCCCGACTCTAGTGCTTTTGCAACTTTGGATCTTCATCAAACTTGTACCAATGAAGAACCCTTATGCATAAATGGTCCTAGAAACATGACTTCATGATGACGTCATCAAGTGATTTTTTATTGATTTTTACATTTTTTTAGCCCATTGACTTTGTACATATTCTCAAGGCACAATTTGGGTTACTTTGCGATTCTCAATTGTCGGCAAAATCATTGCCAAATCTTTGATGTCATGATGACATCACTACCTTATTTGTATTGATTTTTGAGCTGCTATTCAGTTTGAAATATACACATGAGTCTGAATAGTAATATTTCATACAAAAAATGTTCAGTTTAAGCGCAAATCACGTGACATGAACTTAAAGCAACAGTTTTTCGGCACACTTGTTTTGACTTTGTACACGTTTTCAAGCCACAATTTTGGTAACTTCGCGATGTTTGATTGTTGACAATATCGTTGCAGATATCTTGAAAGGGGAGTGCTTTAGAGGAATATTGACCTGATGTAATGATGGTGTCATCAATAGACAAGTCACATGACATTAAAGGGGCACTCTTTTGGGCCCTTTTCTCCTGAAGTACATGTCCGATCGGGTTAAAATCTTGTAGATATCTTGTAAAAGGAGTGCTTCAGAGGAATATTGACGTCGTGTGATGAATGATGTCATCAGGAGACAAGTCACATGACATTAAAGAGGCACTATTTACTACGCTATATCTCCTGAAGTCCATGTTCTATCTGGTTGAAACGTTGCACAAAATAGAAAGGGAAGTGATATGTAATAATGTTATTGAGCTCATGGTGATGATGTCATCGAAAGACAAGTAATGTGACATTGAAGGTGCACTGTTTAAAGCCCTTTATCTCCTGACGCACATATCCCAATGATTTCAAACGTTGCAGATAACAAGGAAAGGAAGTGTTCTAGATGAAATTGTATCTGATGTGATGATGTCATCAGATGAGGAGTCGATTACATTTTATTTAATGCATGTTATTTCCTGATGTACATGCCTGATTAGGTTGAAACCTTGGACCCAAATGGTCATGATGATGGATTTACGCCATAAGGTTAGTGCAGTAGATTGGTTGTTCAACCGAAAAGGGATGCGAAAAAGCCCTCTGTTCTGTTGGCAAAAAGACAGATGACCTCTCTTTTTTTTTTTAGCTGATTCGGTGTACTGCCGAAGCAACTATTGCTTTTGTTAAATTATTATTCTTTTCCTTTTTCAGACTCTTTTTTTTTGTGACAGGAGACTTTGATAGTTTTATACACCTGATTGATTTCAAACTTGGCAGACCTTTAGATAATCATGTCAGTAGGTCCTGATTTATCTTTGAATTTTTATTATTTAATTTGTTCCCATAGGTTTGTACACATTTTTCTACTAAAATATCGTGTTACTTGAATTTGGTTCTTTTTAAAAAAGTCTGATTAATTTCGTACTTAGGAAACCTTATTATTTAAGGACAGGAAGACTGCTTTTGCACTGTTATCGATATGACTGCATTTGTGTCAGGGGCAAACACCAAGGCCACAAGCTAGAAAAGGTTTCCGTCGAAGGTTGTCATAATTATGTTACCAGGTGACAAATCATGTGACATTAAAGGGGCATTATTTGAAGTGCTATATCTTGTGAAGTACATGTCCGTTCAGTTGAAACTTTGTGCGTAGCTTGAAGGGGAAAGGTTTTAGACATACAATGACATGATGTGACGATGATATCATCACATGTTAAGTCACGTGACCTTGAAGAGGCACTCTTTAAAGCACTATATCTCGCAAATGACATGTCCGATTGGGTTTAAACTTTGTGTACAGCTGGAAAGGGAAGGGTCTTAGACCCAAATTGACCTGATGTGACAGTGACATCATCGGATAGCAAGTCACTTGACATTAAAGGCACACTCTTTACAGTGCTACATCTCGTAAAGTTTTGTCTGATTGGCTTGAAATTTTGTGTATATCTTGAGAGGGGAGGGTTTGAGACCCAAATTGACCTGATGTGAGTATGACATTATTGAGTGACAAGTCATGTGACATTAAAGGGGAACTTTTTAAAGTACTATATCTCGTGAAGTAAATGTCCAATCGGGTTGAAACTTTGTGTATAGCTGGAACGGGAAACGTTTTAGACCAAGATTGACCTGATGTGGTGATAATGTCATTGGGTGACAAGTCACGTGGCATTAAAGGGGCACTAATTAAGCGATATATATTGCAAAGTACATGTCCCATTGGCTTGAAACTTTGCAGATGGCTGGAAAGGTAAGGGTTCAACATGGAAGTTCATTTCATCTGATAGCGGTAGCATTATATGACAAGCCATGTTACATTTATCGAGATGACATGGATTTTTAATATTCCACTGTACTGTATCGTTCATGTGCACTTATCAGTAAATCTTGTAAGTACTTGGTCAAGAATTCCATCACTAGTTTTCAGGTTTTAGATAAATAAAACCAGGGCCGAAGCAGCTGTGTTTGTTCACAAACACGTTTCTTTTTTTGGGGGGAGGGGCTTTTTTGCAACTTTGCAAAAAAGGCATTCTTTTTTTTTTCTTTTTTTTTCAATTTTGTGAAAAGGGCATTCCTTTCCTTCTTTTTGTTTGCTTTTATGCAACCTGTGAAAAAGGCATTTTTTTGGGGGGGGCCTTTTCACAACTTGCAAAAAAGGCATTGTTTTTGTTCTTTTTTTTTTTTTCTTCTTCTCTAGCTGCTCCCAGTCTGAATTAGGAATGGCTAGTGTTTTTGTTTATTTCTTTCTCCTTTTTTAAATTTTCCGCTTTTT